AAAAAAAACATATTAAACCGAAACGAAAGAGGAAAATAAATCATTACAACCTACAAAAGTGCGAATTTATACGAAGTTATCCGGACGGGCTACATGTACACTGCTAACCCGGTCAGAATCTGCACGTGGGAATTTGAAATGGAAGAGTAATTTTTTTTATTTTGGATCAGCGAAAAAGAGTATCTTTAAGGCAGAGTTATGCCTCCAAACATATTTTGTCTGTGCCAAGGTAGGACATCCTGCTATAATGTGAGGAACACTTTCGAGGTCTTTTCTGCACAACATGCACTTCAGGTCATTGTCAGGTGTTGAACCGATCTTCTTTGCATAGTACAACTTGGTTGGTAGTAGTTGTTCATAAAGTTCATGCATACCTGCTATGACATGAGAGGGGCATGAGTTCGAATTTTTCAGCCATCCAAAGCACTTCTTCTCATGAATAGCGTCATCATTCCATCGTTCGCTCATTAGTTTACCTTGCCACTTTTCATTTATAACGGTATCTCTGATCCGCTGGTTACTGTGTTCTTTGATTACATCATTTATCTGTTTAATGGGGATTTCTTTCCCTTCCACGTAAAGGCATGATGGATTAGGATAGACCAGCTTTAATGTTAACCCTAACTCCTCTGCATACTTGTTGGCATCCTTCAACAGGGAATAATGGCCTTTTCTTCCTGATTCTTCTTCGAACAGTCTGACTGCATCCATTGTTGGGTCATTGTTGGAATACAGCTTTACTGCAGCTTTAATCTTGGTTGTTTTGTACACGTCCTCTACATTATATAGTTAATTATCCAAAATGACTGGAACGCGTTGCCATTATCTTCCTTCTCATTCATCATATCCGCAACAATTGTGTTGATGTTATTCAGATCTTCCACGGATGACTTCTCTTTTGTTCTTGTGTCTATCAAGCGTTGTGAATAGTCCCCTGGGGTACTACTTATTGAAGCATAGATGTTGTTTGCTTTTTCCGCTAGCTTAGTGATTTCGCTGTTAAGCCTTATTTCTCCTGGGACTTGCGTTGCCGTGGTTGTATGCAAATTCTCTTCGTTTTGTGAAGTTATATGCAAATTTTCTCCTTCTTCTTCTTGATTTTGAATATTTCCTTCGATTTCGTGATTATTTAGTGTAATATTTTCCACTCCAACATTTATTATTATCATTATTATTATTATTATTATTTCAAAACGACAAAAGAGGTAATCAAAACGTTTCATACAGAACAAGAACATAAACTAGACAACGATTTGCTATCCCAAGGTTTCTTCTTCGCTAACGTACATGAAGATATAGAAATATAGATAAGTTATAGTGCTTGGGAATAACCTCGTTCCCAAGCACTATAACTTATCTATATTTCTATATCTTCATGTATTTCATAAGTGCTACGCGGTCCACATATTCTCATCTTCACTAACGTAATCAATTATTCCCTGTCAAAACTAAATGGCTTATGGTCATCGGCACAATCCAACCTTCCTAAGAACATCTACAACCTCACCGTACGCAACATAAATAGCACTCTCCCAACCAGGACCGAATCTCTTTTACATATAGTAAGCGGACGTCAACACTTTCTCGATCGCTTCACCTGGCGCCATAATTCTGTCCTCAACTTTATCGCCTCATCATTTAAAACCATTGACAATTCTACTCTMTATGCTGACCTTGATAATTATCACAGTCCCTCAATTATAACTGGCGATAGTTATCGCCCTGACCTGATTTTAAGAACATCTAGTACACTCTATATATTGGAACTTACTGTTGGCTTTGAATCAAACCTTAAAAATAATGCTGATCGTAAAAAGAAAAAAATATAAAAAACTTATTAGTGATTTAAATAGTGATTATAGCTAAGTTTGTTAATCTTTCAATAAGTTCCCTCGGAGTATTTTCTAGTGATTGTGCAACATTTATTTGAAATGTTAGAAAATGTAGGTTTCGACAAAAACCAACGTAAATATATAATAAGGAAAATTATGAACATTGCAATTCGAACAACCTATTGTATATTTTGCTGTAGAAACAAAATCTGGGATAACCCTGACTTGATGAAGTTTTAACTTTGGCGCTAACTAAATGTGGAAAAAAAGTATGATTAATGTTTTTAGTATCTTTCATGTACTTAAATGTCAAAGATTCAAGTAGGTAATCGTAAATTGCCTATATATAGGGAGATTTAAGTGGCATTTGGAAAACATAATAATGTTTACATTATTATTATAGAGGTTTCATAATTATAAGATAATAAAGCAGAGTGAACTCTCTGGCAACCCTGTCGGACGCACACCCGGTATTTGGTTGAATTATAAGGCATACTGAAAAGGCTGGAAATTTGTAGGATCATGAGAGCTTACCATGAAGTGTCCTTACCAGCTGTGGACAACTGTATATCGTTGTACTATTAGTACTTGACGTGTCTAGAGCGATCACTCGTATGGAATATGTTGTGTTCGGATACAGAAACTCAATCCTAGCCGTTCTCGAGATCGCACCAATGGTAAAGTTAGTGTAGGTACTTTTAACAATTTTATATAAAACCAAGAAGGTGTATGTAGAGCCAGGTTGGTGAGACGCTTGTGGTACAGGGGACCAAGAGACATTGATTCTTCCTGGATCATTCTGGATGATGGACACGTTCCAGGTTTTGTAACATACCACTAAAATTATAAAACAAGAATTTTTGTAGAGTAATTTTAATTAATCAATTAATTCTAAAAAAATGCTCTTATTCTTATTAACGCTAAAAACTAACACTTACGGTCATTGTCAGACATGCGAAAGGCGTTGTATCTTATCTTAAACCCTTGGCCTTTAGAAGCGGAAGACTCAGAGTAGTAAACGACTTTTGCACTTGTGGTTTCAACGACAATAGAGAGAGGTTCACGTTTCTTGTTCTTGATGTATAAAAGTTGGATATTTGAAGCATCTTGTACTTTAAGGCTACTTTCCCTGTAAGATAGTATTAGTGAACATTGAATAAGTTACTTAAAAGTAACAACCATTTACAACGTACTAATCCCATCCCATCTTATCCGCCAACGCCTCTCGATTTATTTATAATATCAGTTTCATCAATGATCCAATCAAAGCTTCAGTAGTAATATTTTATCAATTTATGTACCCAAACCTACAATAATTCATATATCAATCGCAAAAATTACTTTTATTCCAATGCTTAATCTGAGATTCAAGAATCTTACTCGGAATTTATCGCCTGCTTTGATTTGCACCTTTGCTCCTTTGCTTCTTTTATCACGATTACTAGTGACTCTGTTAATAATGTCTATTATATTAAGAGATCGCAAAAAATCATTGCTTTGCTAAAGTAACATTTACTCTTACCCATTCTGGTAACTGCGATCCAAATCGATGTCTTCTAAATACAAAGCTATACGCGCACGTGGTATGGGAGGTCTGAATATCCACTCGTAGTGGGCCCGTTCCATATATCTTGGGTATCCGGGACTGCTGATCTCACCAGTGATATTCGTAATGTTCAAGGAAATCACTAAGTACAAAAAAGAGAAGGGGTAATAAGGTTGGTCTGCTTTGAAGTGTCCGTGGCGTTACAGCAGCTAAACATGGTACTATTTAAATCGCTGTAATATCCAGATTACCTCCGGCTGTCACGTCATGTGTCACATGACTCGTACATCTAATTTAATCGTATGTGTGTGAGGAATAAAGCACGAGGACGAATAGCATCAACGTTTCTATTTATTGTGGATTCTGCGGACACAACAATCGCAAAACTTAATAACGCGCATGGCTGCAAGGTCATTCCATGACTGTCCATTGCCATGTGCGTCTAAATGCATAGATCAAAATCAATAATTGACTTACATGTTGGGAGTCCACAAGCAACACCTGCATCATTGTAATGTCCACAATTATGCGAACCGAGTCCTCTATGCTCACACTGAAACAAAGATGATTCTCTCCCACTGCAGTGTACATCATCCATCCAGATTGGACCAGTTCCTTGACCAAAGGCAGCGTTGTGTGGTGCAGCCACTGCTCTTGGTAGACCCAAAAAACGACATACAACATTAGCCTCATTAAGATCCCAGCTGTCATCACAGATTGTTCCCCATTGACCATGGTAGAAAACCTCTACTCGACCTTCTGTGTTGTTTGTATTATCTGAACCTCCGACCAGGCGAACAATAACTGTTTTCACGGAAAAAAAGTTCTTAGAAAACAGAATTGTAATGAATGGTATGCAGAAAATTTTTAATTCAATCTTAAAGGGAGTGACTTGACATACCACATACTGCCGATTGTCAATTTGCATCTGAATGCATRGACCAAATAGTCCAGTCAATTTACGACATATTGGGAGTCAAATTCCAACTAATTGCAATATAATTTTTCTCCGTTATTATTGCAGGACCCGGGGGGGATACTCCCATATATGGCCGGACTATACGGGGATGATCTGCTGAACAGGGTATGTTTTTTCGAGCTTGTTATCATAAATCAGGGTATGCAATTTCACTCAAGTTCCAAGTTCTTCCTGAGTTTCCTGTCATATTCAGGGATTCTACTTTCGTATTGATTGAAACTGGTTATTATGGTCGTAAAGAAAACTGATATGATAATTGAAACAGGAACTCAGTGCAATAAATTATATCTTTTGTCATAAACAGGGTCCACAGATTTGAGTTTTTTTATCATAAACAGGGTACTCCTTTCAGAATCCCAGCGTAACACCCCTACCCAAATTCTGGCGGAGTATCCCCCTCCCATCCTCGGGTGTCAAGAGTGGTGTCCTAAGTGAATGAATAATTCGGGATCGTAACGGACGGATGCATGAGGTCGACTGAGATTATTCTCGGCTAAATTTTGATCATGCTCTATCTAATCTATAGCTATGGCCAGCAGGAAGTTTTATCTTTGGACTAACAAATTT